CTGCGTGGCACAGACGGGGTGGGCCTGAGCGCAGCCCCTCATGCAGGCAGCCTGGGCTCAGGGCCCTGCTCTACCCTTTACCAGCTGAGAGCGTTGGACAAGCACTTGGCCTCTCAGTGCCTCGGTTTACCCTTTGGAAAATAGAGATGACAACAGTGCTTACTTTAGACAGAGGTTATAAGATTGAATGTGTCAATACAGGTAAACTGTCAATTAAAGTCTTAACCTTAAAATAAAAGCCACAGCACCTCTGAATCCTTTTCACTTCTTTGGGTCCCGGATTCTCCCATATTCCCCAGACTCCTCCAGCTGGGATATGTGTGGGGGCGGGGGCGTTAGACTATTTTGGCATCTCCCAAAGTGGGTTCCACAGACCTCCAACTCACAAAACACTCCAGGACAATGAGAAAGGACACTGTCATCAAATAGGGCTGGGTGCTACGTAGATCGAGCTGCCTCTTGGGACTTGACACACTCCCATGAGAGGTTCTGAGAAACCCTGCAGGGAAGAAACCTGGTGGATGTTTACCTTGGTGTTTGGAAAATTTATTTGATGATGAATTATTTTCTGCCCAATATCAAGGTAACATCCTCCTGGCAAAACACTGATGGTCAAGGTCATTTCTGGCTTGCAGCGTCTGTGACTCACAGAAAAGATGGGAAGATCTTCATCCTCTCAAAATCATCATCCTCACATCTGAGAAGCACCTTCCAGTTTTTAAAGCACTTCCACACTCACCGCCATGAGAGCGTCATGCCCCTGTGAGGGACTTTGACTCAGCTGCAGAGATGAGAGGGGCTCCGAGCAGGAAGGCCACCTCGGGGACACCCCACATCCATGGCCACCCGGCTGGGACTGGCCCAGCTCCCTTCCCACCCCACGCAGCTGCCGCTGGCTCCCACAGACCAGAAAGAACTCCCAGAAGGTTGTCAGGACAGAAGGCGGCATCTGTGAGGAGCCTTCTAGAAAAGGGAGTTGCCAAAAAGAAGCCGTGTGGGTTGAGCCAGCCCAGCCTCAGACAGGGGAGGCCTGTTGGAGGATCCGGAGTCTCCTGGCACCACTTGCAGAGGAGGACCAGGACCACGCGCCTCATCAGCTGGGAAAGTGCCACTTTCAAATAGCCTCTCACATCTCCCTGTAAATGTCTCAGCAACCCTAACACTCGGCAACCAGACGACATCTCCCAGACGGTGGCCTCTTGAACACAGGACAAGTGCCAAATTTCTTCCCTAGGCCCTATGAGATTTGGAAAATGAGATTCATCAGCTAGTCAATGGAGGAGAGTGACATTTATTGAGCACCAACTATATGTCATGCGTTATATAAGAAACTCTGTATGCTGAGATCTCAATTAATTCTGATAGTGACCCCATTTCACAGATGGGGAAACTGAGGTTCACGGCGGTATATTCACATGCCTGGGGACGCAGAGCAGGGCAGGGATTCAAACTCTGAGATTGGTTCTGCCCTGCCAGCCCCAGCACTCCCCAAGGCACCGCACTATTCTGTCGCAGCCTGGCCGGGATCTCCGGCAAATGCCCTAAGGCCCTGCGCTGCACCTGCTGCCCGGGCCCCTCCTATCACTCGTGGCAGCTCTTGGGGAAGGGAACTGGGTGGGAATCTAATGTGGTTTGGCCCCAGCAGGCTGGCCCACGCTGGAGATGAAGAAACTGGCAGAACTTGGGTTTGTTGATCAATGTCCTGGAGAATCTGGCTGTTTCAGCCCAAACAATTTGATCATCCTTTGGAGGGGCGGGGAGGCAGGTAGATAAATCAGTTTTCTGAGCATGCCCACCAGCCCAAAATGCCCTTGCCAATAGGAAGATGCCCCCCCCCATCCCTGGGGACCAGCCTGAGCAGACACTGGGCTGGGCTGCTTATCTCGTTATCCAAACCCCAGGGTCATTCCTGCTGGCTCCCAGGCGCAGCCTCCTGCCCACCTTTTAGTTCCTGGCTCCCAGACCGTCATGAAACCTCCAGGAACCGCCCCCCTCTCCCAGATGGCCCTGGCCCTAGCGTGGGATATTCTCCCAAAAAGAGTCACAGAGCCCCTGACTTCCCAGAATTACTGGGTCAGCATACCGAGTGGCCAAGTGGCTGTGAGCAGGGAGGGCCCCCACCGCCCTCCTGTAAGGCCCCTCGCCTCTGCGAGAAGGCGTTCCTCCTGCCCAGCCCCGGGAGTGGCCACTGGAGAGGTGGGAGAGCAATGTCCCCAGCACCAGCCACTACAAGCCTGTCCCACATGTCTCGCTCATCTGCATCCCTCTGAGAAGCCAGCTTTCTTTTCTCTGTCCCTTTGTGGGGGCATCCATGTTGCAGAGAGGAGCAGTGACTTGCCCAAGGCCACACAGCAAGGTGGTGGTGGGCTTCACACCTGGGTCTGGCTGATTCTGGAGTGAGGGTCCTTTCTCCTGCTACAGTAGAATGGGCAGGGGCAAGGGCTCTGGAGTCCTGACTTCTCAGCTCCTTGCTGGGTAACCTGGAGTTGGTTACTCAACCTCTCTGAGCCTCAGTGTCCCCATCTACACAACGCCTTTGAAGAGTCCCTGAATTCATATTCTGTGTTAGCTGTGTGGCTTTCAGTAAGTGACTTAACCTGTCTGTGCCTCTGTTCACTCTGATTTATTTATTTATTTGAGACAGAGTCTCACTTTGTTGCCCAGGCTAGAGTGAGTGCCGTGGCGTCAGCCTGGCTCACAGCAACCTCAAACTCCTGGGTTCAAGCGATCCTCCTGCCTCAGCCTCCCAAGTAGCTGGGACTACAGGCATGCACCACCATGCCCGACTAATTTTTTCTATATGTATTAGTTGGCCAATTAATTTCTTTTCTATTTATAGTAGAGACAGGGTCTCACTCTTGCTCAGGCTGGTTTTGAACTCCTGACCTTGAGCAATCCGCCTGCCTCAGCCTCTCAGAGTGCTAGGATTACAGGTGTGAGCCACCGTGCCCGGCCTTGTGGATAAACCTTAACAACATCATGCTCACTGAAAAAAGTAAATCACAAAAGATCACATATTTTATGATTTCATTTATAAGAAATGTGTGGAACAGGCAAATCTATAGAGACAGAAAGCAGATTAGTGGTTGCCAAGGGCTGGGGGAGGGGACTGAGGAGAAACGTGTACGAGGTTCTTTGGGGAGCGAGGACTTTGTCCTACAGTTGATTGTAGTGATGGCTGCACAACTCTGTGAACATCTGAAAACCTTGAATTGTAAACTTCAAATATGAATTGCATAGTATATGAGTTATATTTCAAAAAGCTATTATTTAAAAAAAAGCCTGCTGGCCGGGCGCTGTGGCTCACGCCTGTAATCCTAGCTCTTGGGAGGCCGAGGCGGGCGGATTGCTCAAGGTCAGGAGTTCGAAACCAGCCTGAGCAAGAGCGAGACCCCGTCTCTACTATAAATAGAAAGAAATTAATTGGCCAACTGATATATATATAAAAAATTAGCCGGGCATGGTGGCACATGCCTGTAGTCCCAGCTACCCGGGAGGCTGAGGCAGGAGGATCACTCGAGCCCAGGAGTTTGAGGTTGCTGTGAGCTAGGCTGACGCCACGGCACTCACTCTAGCCTGGGCAACAAAGCGAGACTCTGTCTCAAAAAAAAAATAAATAAATAAAAAATAAAAAAAAAAGCCTGCCCTTTGGACCTATGACTCCACTTCTAGAATTTGTTTTAGAAATCACTCAAGTGCACAGGACATATGTACAAAGATTTTCATCACAATATTATTTGTAACAGCAAAAGCATGAAAACAATCTGCAGGGGAAAGAGTCAGTAATGTTCACCCCTGCAACAGAACACTGGAGTCTTTAGAAACAATGAAGCCAGGTGTGGTGGCTCCAGCCTGCACTCTCAGCTACTCAGGAGGCTCAGGTGGGAGGATCGCTTGAGTCTAGGAGGTCAAGTCCAGCCTGGACAACATAGCAAGACCCCGAAAAAAGAAAAAATGATGGCGAGTCACATTTACTAACATGGATGGAGCGCAAGATACACTGCCAAGTCAAAATAACAATAAAAAAAAGGCAGGTTAAAATAATAGGCCTGTAGATTAAAAGTTATTTAGGAGACTTTTTTAATAAGAAGACAAAATTACAACATCTAAGGATGCACACTTGGGTGATAACAAGCAAGATAGTGATTAACTTAAAAGTTGGGATACCTTTTGGGGAGCAGCAGGGAGTTGTGACTGAGACGGGGCACATGGGCTTCTGGGGTGGCTGGCCAAGTTCTGTATCTTCACCCAGGGGGTGGTTCTGAGGGCGTTTGCCTTATAATAATTCATCAAGTTGGATGATTATTTTATATGTTTTTTCCATATGTGCTATATTTTATCATTAAAATGATTTAAGAATAAAGTATACTCATTTCAATTTTTTAAAAGCAAATATCATAGGATTCCATTCTTTTTTTTTTTTTTCTCTTTTTTTGAGACTGAGTCTCACTTTGTTGTCCAGGCTAGAGTGAGTGCCGTGGTGTCAGCCTAGCTCACAGCAACCTCAAACTCCAGGGCTCAGCGATCCTACTGCCTCAGCCTCCTGAGTAGCTGGGACTACAGGCATGCGCCACCATGCCCAGCTAATTTTTT